AGAAAGACTTTACACTCACTCTTGTCACAAACAAAATGCCCATTTTCTAAAAGATTAGAACAAGCAATGTAAACACCACACCCCTACGTGTGCCTCCCTAGGCACTGCAGGCTGGTTTCCTGCAGAGATCCTGGGGAGGAACCTGACACAGAGAGATGGTGCCTGTGGCCCTGTCCCCCACTCCCCGGGCCTGAGCTGCAGACCCTGCTGGACAGAAGGACCAAGCCTCCCTCATGCATGGGGTGCACACATGGTGAGAGACAAGTGAGCCCCTCCCCAACCTCAGAAGTGCTCCCAGACACTCACCAAAGTCCTTCCAACACAGGAGGGTCCCGGGGTCTCAGGGCTCCCACAGACTCCGGGAAATGCGTGTCTGCTTTAACAACTGGAAAGGTAGAAACAAAGGTTCACCATCATTTTAAAAGTGGTTAACATTTTTAAAGGCTTTTTTTTAACTACTGAAACACTCCAGGTAAGTCCCTAAACAAATGGACTCTAACACCCGGATGGCAGTTGCCTGAGTGGTGCCCAAGCATCCAGCCATTAGCAGGGGGCAGAGGCTTCCCGGGACTCTCACCACACCATGCAGGCTCCAGCGTGGCCACGGTCTTGCTGCTCAGAGTCCAGAGGTGGCTGTTGGCATCACTAATCCCAGTTTAAATGGGAACAGCCTGAACAGTATGACGTAACTGAAGAAAGCTGCTGTCCCTTGGGAGTCCAGCTCCAAGTCCCTTGGCTGACATGGCGCCAGCACTTCACTGTGACTGGTTGCCAAAGATAATGTCCCCAAACATCCTCTGCAAGCAGTTCCTTAGGGCCCTTGTCAGAGCGGGGTGGGTGGGCTGGGCTGCACGGCAGCGTGGAAGGCCCAGACTGACTTGTCCAGCAGCCGCACGTGCTGGCAGCCAGGCACCCAGGCAAGACCCTTCTCAGCACACAGGTTCCACTGGAGACGCACCCAGGGGAGGGGTGGGGCAAGGGCGCTCTTCCTGGTGCCATTCAGGGGGAAGGGATCCAACTTCCTCCAGCCTCACGTCCTTCCAAAGGAAGCATAGCCATGTTTGGTGGCAAACGCTGACGGCAAGGGAACAGGCTAGCTGAGGTGTTGTGCCTGGTGAAGGAGCTGAGATTGCTCCTCTCCAGACCCTGCAGGCGGGAGAGCCCGGCCAGGGGGCCCTGGACTCAGGCTTCTGTGCTTTGTGCCAGGACCGCCCTCAGGGCTCTGGGGTCCTGGTGGTAGTAGTCTAGGCTACCTTTCCCAAGGCCAGACCACAGGGGCCCCAGGAAACTGACACATCATATTTTCTAGAGCGGACTTGACGCATCCAGCAAGTTCTGGTCTCATAATTCCTCCCCCAAGACAAAGATCTCAGGTTGTGCAAATGCTGTTAGCAACGCAAAACTGTTGGGAGTGGAAACAAAATAGTGAGAGTGGCAGCATGGGACTGGGAAGGATCATTTTTAATTTTGAGATGATTTTAGATTTACACGAGAGGTGAAAAAACAGCAGTTACCTTCTGCTAGCTTCCTGTTTTGCTAAGCTCTTACGTTACCTTGTAACATCTGGATGTGTCAGCATTAGGATACTAACCTCGTTACGACATTATCTAACTATGTCACAGAACTTATCTGAGCCTCATCTGTTTCCTATAAACGCCCCTTTGCAGTCCAGGACCCCTCTTCCCACCCGCCGTCGCGCCTCCTTGGGCTCCCTGCCCTTCCTTTACGTTCATGAGCTTGAGACATTTACTGATGACTTATTTTGCAGAATGACTCTGGCTGGTTTGCCTGATGCCTTCTTGTGCTTGGGTGGAGGTCCTGCGTCACTGGGAAGGGCTCCCCAGGCCACGTGCCCTTCTCCGTGCTTTGTGATGGGGCACGACGTCCATGTGTCTCCTCCGATGATCTTGG